CCTCTTTTACAAAACGTGTATTTTCTTTCTTCTTCCGCCGTCCACTCCCTCTCTCATCCTTCTCTCTCTGTCTCTCTCTCAAGGCTGGGTCGCCGACAAATTCCACTTCCTTATCGAAGACCACCACCTCAGCAACACCAATCGAAATCCCTCGAACACAATCCCTACTCTCTCGATGGAGATTTGGGAGAAGTTGTGGGAGAGTTCCCTCCGTGTTAAAGGCTTCTTCGTCAACATTATTGCCCACAAAGCTTCATATCTTCTAATTCAAAGCTTCTTCGGTGTTCAAGTTCGGTCAGCCACTCTTCATCCCACTTGGTTGTTTCACAGAATTCCAATCATATCAGTATTTTTCTCATCTTGGGTTTATTGGGATTTTTAAGATTTTGTTACTGATTGATTGACTTGGATTGCCGAATTTTTTTATAAATTGGCAATTATAAGTAAACCTCTGATCAATTTTTGGAAGCTTCTATTTTATGACTCCATCGTTTTAAATTTCTAACTCCGCCATTGGCAGTAAGATTACCATGTCATGTTTGGCAAAAACAGTTTCTGAATATTTAAGGTCATGATAAAGGACCTGATGCATGCATGAAGTTTTGTTTTTTGATTCTACGTTACGCCAGAAAGATGGTGAAAAATGAATGCCATTGCATTCGCTGCAACTATCAAACAGAAAACATGACAGGAATTGAAGGGAGATGTGGAATCAAGACCTGCAACCGATCCCATCAAAGCTTATATCCTCCAGAGTCCAAACATGGTAGAACACTATGTCCTAGTTTGGTACATACATAGATAAGCAGTAGGATTGGACTAGTTTAAACTTGGAATATATTGACTGCAAACAGAATAAAAAAGAAGAAAAAAGAAGAAGAAAGAAATCTTTTTCAAAAGATGTTCAATCTTATAATTAAAGCTAATTAAGTATGAAGATAATTATTAAAAAGCGGTCATATATACTTTTATCATTGTTTATCAGCTAAAGCTCTTTTAGTTGAAGTATTTCACGAGAAAATTTTGAGTTTGATTGTTGATTCGTCAAGTGATATTATTAATTCATGTGTCATAAATTTAGGTAAATATATAAAAAATTTATAATATAAGTGAATTAATAATATCATATATAGTAATATGATTGTCGCACCGAAAATTTATGCCTATTCCACCTGCATGTGATTGACCGACCAAAGAGTAGAGAATTCTATTGTGTTCCCATGAATAGAAAATAGGAAATTAGAGTCTAATCCTTGAATAAGATCAACTTTTGATTAATAATTGAATTTAGTCATTTGATCCGGTTTACATGTCATCCTATATATTCCACGTCATATTTATCCATTTTACATTGATTTTATGGTTTTCTTTCTTCCAATTATATCCTTGTGAACAATAATTGATTTTATGAGAAATGTTGCAAAATTTATTACTCATTTGAAATCCAAATATTTGCATTTAATTTATTACTCATTTGAGACAAATGTTTCAGAATTTGATATAAGGTGGTGATCATCTCTCTCTCCCCCTCTCGCTCTCGATCGCCCTCCCTCCTTCCCTCAAAAAATTCTATTAATCTGAATGGAACTTTCCATTTGGTGATTGTTATACCTAAATATATGAAGCCTTTCTTCCATTTGGTTTTTCATTTCACAACAATAGTGATCTCAACAAGGAGTCTTTTTTTCATATAGCTACATTATATGTTTGAGAACTATACAGGTACATACATTTTGGTACATATATTTCGTACATATATTTTGGTACACATGGTTCAGTACATAAATTTCGGTACACATGTTTTAGTACTATATTTCAGTACATTTATATACTTTGGTTTGGTGCACATATTTCGGTACACATACTTCGGTACAATCATTTTGTAATTATTTGGTATATACTCATTACTTTGCAACTTGCATAATGATAGGCCATGTATTTTGCATTTTTTTTCCTCAACGTTTCACTAGTATTTTTTTTGTTATGGTTTTCCATTCAATTGCATTTATTAATAGAGGAAGGGCTGGTTTGGTATTGCTGTGCTTTGAAAAAAAAATTGTTTCTGCCATGCTGTGAGAATAAGTAGCTGTGAAATAAAGCAGCACAGTGTTTGGTAAACTTTTTTGTAAAAGTGCTTTTGAAAAAAAAAAAATAGTATTATAGTATTTGATAAACTTTTATGTAAAACAGATATGAAAAAAAGCTGGTTTTTCAAAGCTGAGTTTTGCAGCTTTGTGTTTTTGGTTTTTTTTTTCACCCAAAATTGTGAAAAAAAACTGAAGTTGAATGTTTACCAAACATAAAAAAACTCCCAACTTTTTTTTATAACCATTTTTTTTTCAGAATCACCTCAGTACCAAACCAGGGCGAAGTCAAGGATGAGGGTAAAAAGTCTAGATCAAATCAATAAATCAAAATTTTTAGTTTGACAAAAAAAGAATCAAATATTTAATATGGGCATTTTGGGAATGAAAAAAAAAACGTATTTAAGTATCTAATAACAATTAATTATGAATTAAATATAAATGCTGGTGTGGATATCTAGTCAAAGGACTATAATTAATATTTGATCTTAAATTGGGTTTTAAATATTGAATTCCAATCTTATCGAAGGATTAATATTCAACTAATTGTCGAATTTTATGTTTGGCTTGGGATCGGACAAAATATTTTCTGCAGTCCCTACTGTTCAAGCTAGGGAACTCCCAACAACATACCTAGCTAGTAAAATAACAAAATAGTAGAAAATAATTGAATGAAAATTGCCTTGTCATCCTCTGCAGGAAGATGTGCACGAACATGTTAATGCAGGAAGCCCCATAGTAACATGGTACACACCTGATACTGATATGGGCAATTTCTTCAAAACAGGACGTGCACAATTGCATCACAAACGCGATATTTAGAAATCGAAGCAAATCCAAGAGAAAAGCTTCCAGAAGAAAGTCCAAGTACGTGGTTAGACAAGATGAACATGCTTGCCGATGTTAAGAGACCATTTAGCTCAAAATAAGTGGAAGTTGATTTTCACATCTTTTTTAATGTTTCACACATTTCTTTACTTTTAACTATTGGACTGAATAAATCAAACAGAATTATACGAACAAGACTAAACAAGAATATATATGAAGAGAAAAAAAGTATCTTCATAAGAGTGTCTACTAATCACGTGAGCAAACTAACATACAAAATTTTGGTTCTCCATATATATACACATGAGTGTGTGTGGAGTCTTGTATTACTATACAGAAAGATATATTCACCACAAATTGATACTAAGAAATATAAACCCTACAATTTTCACCCATAAAAAATAGGGTAAAATTTTTTACCTCTTAAGTTTGGATGTAATTGTAATCTCATACAACATCTTTAAACCATTTTAATCATATATATTTATTTTATTCATTTCAATTTTATACATCAGTTAAAAAAACCGTTAACTTTTCCGTTAGCTGTCTTGCGGATCCCACGATATATGTGCCACGTGTGGTTTAAATTAAAAGAAATTATAAAAAATCTTAATTAAAAAATTATAGTTAAAAATAATTTTATTTTAAAACTTAAATCCTTCTCTCCAACCCAGATTCTCCAGCCTCTCCGTACGCCACTCCCATGGCCGCGAGCACTGGCGAAAGACACCCACGTCGACATCGACCTCCACGAACCCCTCACCACACCATTCGTTACAGAGATAGAGGTTAAGGATTATGGCGAGCTCAGCGCAGGTGGTGGATCAGCCGTCGAGCAAAACGGGTCCTGTGGCTCCCACCGTTGTGGACGTCGATTTGGGTAATCGGAGCTACCCGATTTACATCAGATTTCGAGAAAACAAGAAAAACCCATGAATCGAAAAGCTTAAAGAGTCAAAGAAATGGGAAATTCTGCAGAAGGACGACTGACCTCTTTGACTTCAGTGGAACACTCCGAAGGGTCGGGAGAACGATCTCTTCAGGCAGGCCGATTCACCCATCTTAGTGTTCTTGCTTTCTCTGGTAAAATCCCTCTACTTGGGGTCGTTTAATATATGGCTAGAAATTTGAATTGTGAATTGGGAATCAAGAAAGGCGGCTTATTGTGTCCATTCCATGTTTGGTTTTACAGTTTTTACCCAAAAATGTGCAGAAAAAGGGAGCTTTTTAGAGAGGAGGGACTGCGGGTTTTTTGTTTGCCTTTAATGTTTGGGTTTTTAGTTTCTTGTTGATTTTCTTGGATGGAGATTTCTCTTTCTATTTTTTTAGATAAATTATATTTATCAAAATCAAAGAATGCCGAATTCGGCCGGAGAAGAAGGCGGTGGGGAAATTGGTTGTGGTTCTGGCGGTGAGGGAAGTAAAAAAGAGTGGGGGAGGAGACGGATGGAGTGGGAAGAAGAGTGGGGCTGGGAGTTGGTAGGGGGTGGGCCCCACAGTGTTAAATAAAAAATTAAATTATTGTATTTTTAAAAGAATTTATTTATTGAGTTTATCATTTTTAAAGGGCTTATGTGGCATATTTGTGACATCGTCAGCACAAAAGTTTTCTGATTTGCTACGTCACCACTTAACAGTTAAGTTAACGGATTGATTCAAGATTGTATCATTTTGAAATAAAATGATAATAAATGTATGAGATTAAAATATTTTAAAGATATTGTATGAGGTTATAATTGAACACAAATCTAAAAGGGTAAAATGTAACTTACCAAAAATATAATATATATATATATAAACCCTCCAACCAATCTCACATTATGTACCCATGTGCGTGACTGGATTTGGGGTCCGGGACCCAGTTGACCCATTGGCCACTTGATTTCCCACTTTCTCTACAGAGGCTGGAGGCTTTCGGTTATGCATTTGACACCTTGTTCATAAATAAGCATAAAGACTGACCAACCAGTAATGAAAAGAAGCTACAGTTTCAGCCTCTCCTAGCAAAGTTCAAGTCATCTAAAAGAAAGGTTACAAGATGAAGGTAAGAAAGAAAAACCCTAGTATTCTCCTGTTCTTATAGGAAAGTGGCTAAAATAATGGAAATACATTGTTCCATCTGCTAGAATGATCATTTTGTTTCAACATTTTGTCCATATGCCATTGTTATTTGATTCTGTAAAATTCTCTCTTCAACAATTGTGATGTATAAACTGATTTTGCCTGCTAATGTTGCAGTTACTAGGTTGGATGCATCGCATGTTTCGGCAGAATAGCAACGATCCATTTAAAGTTTCCGTCGTTGGTAAGTCGCTCTATGCCTTGGACTGCACATTCTTGTAACACGAGAAATTCACTCCCAAAAATGCAATTAATGTGAAGGGGTGTGCTATTCACATACCTCTTTTTACTTCTCACACACTCCTTGTTAATTTCTGTCCGTTAATCTTCTTCAATTCATCCGATCCGACAGCCGAAAACCAAAAATGTGTGGGAGAAGTAAAAAGAGGTGTGTGGATATCACACCCCTAATGTGAAATATATTGCAGAAATATACCAACTATTTATATGATCAAATATAACAAATTAAATGTATAATCACTATTAGACTTATGAAAATTACAATAGGAAAAATGGAATAAGAATATTTGGCTTGTGAACCAAAGAGAGGCGCGTTGTTGCTGTCCTAAAGCCGTAGATGCCTCCCTACGTGCAAGTTATAGCGGTGCCTACAACTCCAAGATATAACCCAAAGCCTCAGAGGATGTTTGATCCGTTATGCATGCCAACGGCATATGAGATTGACAAGTAGTGATCAATTGCTCAAGAATTATAAAGTAGGAATGTAAATTGACTAACAGAGATGTGAGAAGTGAAGGAGACAGAATAGTTTTTAACGTATTTCGTTTTCTGTATGAGATTTCTTATTTAAAGAATTTCTCATACTTTTCTCGAAAATGATTATGACTCTTCAAATAAAACACAACTCTTAAGTATTAAAAATAAATAAAATAATAATAAGTTTTGAATCTTTAAAATAAAATGTAATTAAAATAATTAAAAGTAAACAACAGTTAAAACTTAATTAGTCTGCCTAAGAACATAGAATTAGTCGCAGAGACCTTCCCTTTGTGTGAGGGTTAATCTCACCGATCTGTGTGAGTGGTTCCCAATCGAGTCCAATTCTGGTGCTGCCGATCCTAGCTCCGGCTGGGATCGGGGGGTTTTCTTTTGTTTCTTTCTCCCTCTCTTTCTCCTCTTCCATCCGTTGTTTTCTTCCCTAGTTTTATTGGCTGATCTGCCTTCTTCTCTCCCCTTTGCTGTCTCTCATCCATATTCATCCAATTACCAGGCGTCAATCACCCTTTGCCGCGATTTGTTGCGATGTTTCGAGTTGGTGTGCTTTGATCTGATGCTTGCATTGGGTCGGGTGTTCCTTACACCCCCACCTTCTCTTTGTTGTTTGCCCTTGTTGGCAATGTTGCTCGTGGACTGCCATGAGCTTCTTTCACTTGGCTGCAGGTTCTCTGGTGTCTGTAGCTGGGCTAGGAGTGAAGCTTGGAATTGGCTGCTGGTATCGGTGAGGCGAGGCTTTGTTTGGGAAGTGAATTTGGCTAGATCGACATGCGCGACTGCTGTTTTGGTGGTTGCAGCGGCGGTTATGGCGGAAGACGCAGCAGCTCCGGTTGTTTTTGTGTTTTGGTCTCAACTTTGGTTGGGCCTCTGTTGTTTGTTTGTGTTTTTTGTTTTTGGGCATCTGTGTTGTAATGTTTGTTGTTGGTCATGCATGTTACCTTTGCTCCAAAAAAAAAAAAAAAAAAAAAAAAAAAAAAAAAAAAAAAACATAGAATTAGTCCAAACTAGAAATTTTGAAAGACCAATTATGATCACATAAAAAAACCAAAAAAAGTTAATGTTCATCCAAGTTCCTTACAATGCGTTTTGTGTCAGAACATTCTTGTGGTTGTCTTTCAGGGCAGCCGTCGCTCGACGATCAACAATACTATCCGAAGTCAAACTGGGGCACGAAACCCTTCAAGCAAGCCCCGAAAGATCAGCACCTTCGAAAATCTTTCAACGGTCTAGATGCAGCTAGGGCAGAAGAAGAATACTATGAAGAGGAATCATCTGCTGAGGCATCGGTGCTCTTCCATGGCTTTCTTGCAATCGGCACCCTTGGAAGCTCGGACCAAGTGAACACTGAACCATCAACCCCAATGCTTGGAATCTCCGTGGAGAACATAACCGAAAAAGAAACTGAGGCCACGGAGAACGAGTTGAATCTCATCAATGATGAATTGGAGAAAGAGCTAGTGGCTGTTCCGGCGAAGGATGATATTTGTAATGATTCATCTGGAAGAAACAGCTATGTCAGCAATGGAAGAAGTAGCCAAGGAAGCACCATTACGCTAAGCGGGAAGGCACTGGAAGGCGCAGCGAACAAGGGGAATAATGGAACGGCAGTGTGCCCGCTCCAGGGATATCTTTTCGGGTCGGCATATGAGTTGTCTGAAACAACAATAGTGGCAAAGAAGGAACACAGGACATCTCTTGGTGAGCTGTTCCAGAGGACTAAATTGGCTGAGGAGATCTCCGGAGCAGAATTGATCAAAGAGGAGAAGCGAGCGGATAAGTCCGCCATGCACTTAATCAAAAAGATGCTCAAGAAAAAAATGCTTCACGCTTCTTCTCGTGGCTCCGGCAGGGCTGCTGATCATGCTTCAGCAGAAACAAAACTCAATAAGGTAACTCTAACGAAAAATATGGAAAAACTTTGCTTCTTACAGCACTGGCGGAGTAATGATTTTATGTGAGGAGGGGCCTCACAATTGTTAAAAAAATAGGTAGTACTTACAAGATAGTATAATACATACTTGGAGTTGTGAGCTAATTAAATTTTTTTGAGGTGCTAAATGCGTTTTTCATGTTGAAATTAATCTTCCAATATCAAGTTAATATAGAGTAGTAAATCAAAATTTAAGAGGATTAAGAGAAATTAACCTTCCAATATCAAGTCAATAAAAATGCTAGGGAGACCAACTTTTTAGACCATATTTTGGAGACCAATGTGGTGGTTATTGATTTAATTTCCTTTAATGATTTAAAGAAATAATCTGACTATTAACCGCTATATAATCATGTGATCCCAAAATATGGCTCAAGTAAATAGTCTCTCTAACACCACCCCAAGTCAAGATAGAATAAATTGGGAATTTTCGAACCAAAAATGAGAAGAATGGATCGGAAATTTGGAGAACAAAATATGTCAAATTTTAAAAACTAAGTAAAAGTTACAAAGAACAGAGAGATTTACAAACCTTAATATTGTTGTGGGCTGGGAATTTAGAGGACAAAATATTTGAAATTTCAAGAAGGGGAGGAAGAAAAGCTCAAAGTTTATTATTCTTAGGTTGGCAATTTAAAAGAATATTATTTTGATAAAACTAAATTAGACTTTAGATTTTATATTTTAAGAGTTATTGATTTGTTTATAAATAAGATGCTTAGTTTTAGGATGAGTGTTGTTGGGATTGAAAAGAAAAAGAGACATCTTGTTTTATTTATTGGTGAACAGAATTAGAAATTTTGTGTATACTAAAAAAAGTATAATATTAAGTTTACCAAAAAAAAAAAAAAAAAACAAAAGAAAAAAAAAAGGAAATATAATACATGTGATACTAAATATTTTGAAAAAGTGAGGGTAGGCCTAGACCAATGCTCTCCGCCCGTCTTACAGTTTTTATATGATTGCATCAAACATTTGACGTGCATTCCAAGCTTCTCGCATCGAAAAAGTAATTTGAACTGAAATGGGGTATATGTATATCAAATTTGTGTGTAGATCCTTCACATGTTCCGTAGAAAAGTTCACCCTGAAACCTCGGCGGCTGAGCGAAAACCCGGTAAGTATAAAGGGAACCAAAGCAAGAAGAAACCAAGCAGTGAGGGGACTTACAACAATGGAGGTCAGGATGAAGACATCTTGTTATATCCTCAACAAGGATTTTCTTCAATGCAGAGCATGTGGCACTACAAGAGCCAATCAAACCCGCTCCAATTTGTGCTTAGCGGCATGGATTCAAAGGAGAACAGGGAGCACTGGATCAAAACAGGTGCAGACTGTAAGTCCATTATGCACTAACTCATTTCAAATACAATGTAGAGTACCAATCAACCCTTTTGTTTGATCTTGGTCTTTCCTCAACAATGACTACATGCAAAGCACTTAAAAATGAATACTTAATAGCATAGCCTCTGACTACTATTACTGTTAACAAGAAACACTTAAGGAATCAAATTATAGAAAATAACGCCTCACATATCAAGTGTTAATGTCGGGTACAATAACAGTTGGGTAAGTGTCTTTGTTTGAAACTGTGCTTTATCTGAGAAGAGCCCTAAAATTATGGAGAAAAACTCCTTACCTCAACAAATAATGTCAGGTAAAATAATATTCAGGTTGCGTCCAATATTTTTTTTCTTTTCAAAACAGTGTTTAAGGTGTTTGACTAAGAAACATGGGTTTTCTTCTAAAAAAAAAATAAGAAACATGGGTTTGAGATGCTTATAAGTAAAGAGCCTAAAACAAATCGAGTATTAATTATATGAATCTTGAATCAGTTTAGTTGAGGATTATATCTGATTCAGCTATGTTATGTTTATTGTAGACCTAGTCCTGGAGCTGTGAAAGGATAAGAGATTCAAGTTGGGTTTTTCGAATTGTGACTGCTTGATTAGTAAGAAGTGATTTCTACAGATTGATGAGTGTTTGTAAGAGTGAGATCCTACTTGTTTGTATCAAAGAACATGTTATCTACCCCTTTGATTGCATGCGGTGTCGTTTTGTAATTTCCCGCCAACACGTTGCCTGCTCCACCCTTTTTTTCATGGTTGCTAACTCAAACCACGACTGTTTTTCCCACAACAATTTTATGGCGTGTTTACTTAATAGAAATATATAAAATAAAATAAAAGTAATCAGAGTGCTTAAAAACAGGAGTAGGAAAGGGAATCATAATTTTTGGTATTTAGATATTTGATTGGGTACCTACAAACTAAAAAATTTAGCCTAAGATCCGTTTGCAACATTTTTAGAAGGGCTTAAGACGCATTTTATATACCAAAAGCGTTATGACTGATGTTTTCAAAAGGGTTTTTTTTTTTTCAAAAATCACATTTGCTTTTGAAAAGACGCAATGCAAATGCTTCCGTACAAGCCCAAACTCATAATTGCATAGGGCGGGACTGAAGCAGGTTTAAAAGAAAAATTAGCCACACGTGCAAATTTACAAACAATTGTGGAGGCTCCAGCATACGCTCACAATATATATTTCATGGATTTGAATTCTTAAATTGGCATACATATTAAGTGAAACTGTAGAAAACGAACGAATAGAATGTCGTTTTTCCCATAATTTTCTTTGGAACAATATTTTTCTTACAACTTGACCAAAGAATTTTGGCACAAAACATGAAGCATGAGAAACGAAGTAGACAAAGCAGAGCACCACTAGCATGTACCGTCCATATGTAATTTACCAACAACTCCTGATGTTGGACTAACTTAAGTTTGGGTGTCATAAAACTATGATATAGATGAAGAGAACGGGTTGTATTTTATATGGACTTAATTATATGGCTTGTGCGGGTATAAGACCATATATATATTAGAGGGAATAATTAAGAGGATTAACCAACTGCAGTAAAGCAGTTGTAATCCAAATGAACCTGTCAACAACTGCTCTTTGATAGGAAGGAGCAGTTGTGAAGTATAAAGTACAGGTTTGGTCCCTCTTTTCGGGTGTGGTTGGTTCTCAAAAAGTGTTGAAGCACTTGTCCTATTGAAAGTGCAGAGATCCTATATTGAAACCAAGAGAAGAGAAGACAAAGCCGTTCAAAGACTATGATGTCTTCTGCAACAAGTAACAATATATGTTACTAATCCTAGTATGTGCATGAACTGCATTAAATGTAGTTTATTGAGATTGCATGTTTTGACAGTCTTTGGTATGCTAGGGTTTAGTTGTATTCGATCCTAATTACTTCTAATATGTAATGTTAACATGTGGTATCAGAGCCACACAATTAAATCCTATCATAAACAGTTGTATATGTATGATTTCGCTGTGTTAAAAGTATTAAAGTAACAGTTTCATCCTTCATAATCTTGTATGTGGAACTGTTTTGATTTCTCTGGTTGATATGTTGATTCAAGTACATAAAACTGTTGCATTTCTTCCTCAATTGGAAGAAGTTATGAAGTACAGATTCTGTCTTATACGTTTATACTACTATATGTTTGGTTAATATTTTATTAAACTGATGAATTACACAGACCAGAAATTGTTATGCAACATATACAGACCTTGTGATTAAGGGACAAATTTCGAATAACACCAAAGTGTAGACCTAAACTTGGTCCTTTACTGTTACTTCGATATATGTAAGGAATGTGGTGACTTACAAGTATTAACAAGTAAAACACTTCAAAAGAGGTAGATTATTGGGTTCATTTGTAAGATCAGTGCATACTGAGTGATGAAATTCATGCTACTTGTTGTCTACTTACCCAAATGTAATGTTATACATGTAGTTTTGAAGTTTTATCACTTGGCTATGCAATAATTGTGTATGGACCGTCTCTGGCTCAAAAGTGTGACTGTTTCCATAAATTAAGCATGACAAGAAATAATGTGTGTCAGTTCTTGATCGTATGGTCATGAAATTTTCAAATTTCTTTGAGTTAATAGGTTTCAATAAGCTGAGTTTGGTGAATGTTGAGAAGTTAAATGGCAATAACTTCAAAGCATGGAAGCATCAAATTGAAATGAACCTTGGGATGTTGGAATTTAACATAGCATTCAAGGTACCTCAACTCTCTACATTAACTGATGAAAGTACTGCACAACAGAGAATTTTGCAAAGTGGGATAGAGCCAATCAAATGTCTCTACTCATCATGCAAAATTCAATGGAGGACTTCTAAGAGGAGGGATTCCTAGCTCTGATTTGGCTAAGAATTACATGGACAAAATTGGAGAAAAGTTCAAGAGATCAGACAAAGCTAAAATTAGGGCTTATTTGTCAGCTTTAATAAACTCCAAGCATGATGGCTCTAGCAGCATACGGGAGCACTTACTGAAGTTGGTTAACATTGCCAACAAGTTGAATGCTTTGGACATTGGCATTACTGATCATTTCTTTGTGCACATGGCACTACTTTCACAGTCAAGTGATTATGAACAACTGAAACTGATTATGCAATAATAAGAAAGAATGAAGAAAATGAGAGCTGAGAGATTTGAGCTTGTAAACCTTCATCCTAGTGTGGGTTCAATTTTCATCGATCTCCTTCCCTCTGAACAAATAATAATTTAACACACTAACGCTATTGTTTGTAAAAAAAAGAAGTTATTTTAATATATTTTGATTTTTGAGTGAGACGGTAACACTATCACAGTTTTTTTATACCCATTTTGTACGACCCCCTTGACATTGTATTTCACGATCCAACTATCTGTTTTTTTTTTTTTTTCTCTTCCCTTAAAAATCATTTTTTACCAAAAACCACCAAAATTTGGAACTATTTGTCCGTTGGATTAATGGTGGTCATATTAATGAATCTTTGAAAAATCTTATTCATCTATTTTCTTCACTACAATCAGATATCCTAATGGTTTTGAATTTGCATATTAGTGTAAGGATGATTAATGAATGATGTATAAACATATAGACGGTTGGGAGTTGTCCCTCAATCAAAATTATTTGAGGGGTCCCTTAAGAGCATTAACCAGTTAGTATTTTAATATGACACTAACCACTCATTTGAGCCCACTCCACAATGTAATCTCATGATTTGAACCATTCAAATTTTAGGTTATCAGGACAAGATCATCATTGCAAAAATTCAATAATATCCTGAAATGATGATCGGTTTAGATTGTAAGAAATATTGATCCTGAAATGATGGTCGGTTTAGATTGTAAGAAATATTGATTATGTGTGTGCGCGCGCGTGTGTAAGTGATTCAGTGGATTTGCAACGAGAGACATGCAAATACATGTCACAACATTGCATGCACCAACGTGGGTTGCTGGGTTATAGGCTTATAGCGTCACTTGCTAAGATTAAGATTATGTATGCTTAATCTTAATTTGATTAGAAAAGTAGTATTTTAATCAAAATTAAAGGAGCACCAATTAGTTCGCAAGAATAAATTGTTAGCAGCCTAGCCCGCTATGTACGTAGTAAAAGTATGGTTGTAGAGTCAAGTAAACATTCGGGGACCATCACGTGATACGTAGGCAATGACGATATCAGTTGATTAAGCCCTAACCTCTTTACGAGGATCCTAGGGATCTTCCAATTACATTCGTTCATCGTACATTGTACAGTTATAAATCATGATAAATTTTTTTATTTAAAATTGAATATAAACAGCATCTGATAAAAACTGACTGCACGATATACGATGAACATATTTGATTGGAGTATACCCAGGATCCTCACAAAAGGAAGAGATTTTTCAGTGTGACCGGTACACGGGATGGTACATTACGTGTCACTATACAAATGGTGAGATATGTGTGCTAAAAAGTTAATAACTTAAAAAATAAAATTTTTCACAACTCCTATTAAAACACGTGATGTATCATTTGTGTTTTCGTCACAACTAAAAATTTCTCTATAAAGGGATCCTCACAGAGAGGATTAAAGGATCCTCACAGAGAGGATTAAAGGATCCTCATACCTTGTACGCGGACAAAGACTTGAGATTTATTTGTTTTTATAACTACTTAAGAACCTGAAGTTTTGTAGTCATAAAAACCAAATATAAGAAGCAAATCTCAATTTCTCCTTCCCAGAAACTGAATGTTCCAACAATTTATTTTAGGGAACTTTAACGAAAAACACCTGGTACTGTTCACTTTAACAAAAAACCACATTTTTACACTAAAAAGTCAATCATGGTACTATTCACTTTACCCTTTATTTTGTCCTTATCATTAAAACTCAAAGTTTTCAAGCCATTTTCATTAGTTTTCCTTTTATTTTATCACAATAATATATATTTTTTTAACAAACGATATTATTTATATTGAAAATAAGAGAATGAACTTAACCTCACAATACCATGTGAGATTGAAGTAAAACACAAAATATAATCAATTAGTGAAGTAGAATCTCAACGTACCATGTAACATTGAAGTAAAACACAGAGACTGCCAATCTAAACAGTCGTACAACTATTTCCAGGAAAAAAAAAAAGAAGAGGACAATTATTTATGATCGATATTTCCACACCTCTTTAATTATAAACATTTTCAATCAATTTGAATATTTCTTGGAATTTTACATACAACTTACTGAAATTACAAAAATAAGATGCTAAGAAAAATGATTTATTTGTGGCATGAACGAAAAAAAAAAATTCAATAAAAAAGAACATCAATGGCTACTATGATAATCATTTTATTTTTATACCCTTCTATCTTTCTTATTTCCCATAGACTTTCCCTTCATCTCTAAAAAGATTAAAATTAAAAAAGGAAAAGAAATGGTGATTGAACGGAGGGAGCTACCCCTTTCCTTAAAGATTTTTCCCCATCTTTGCTATTTACCTTTGCTTAGAGATCAGACGAAGATGTGTCTGGATATCAACAGCAATTGCCAGAGATCACAGATAAAGAGGCAATGAAAAGATGACAGATCTAGACCAAGTCTACGGTTACACCCATCATTTGCACAGAAACTATTTCTTGTACAGTGACAACTCAGGGCTGCTTGGGGAAATAACGGTAGTTTAAGTAATAAGCTCTAATCAGCATATCATGTTTCTATTCAGGCTAATATTGGAAAATATAAAACATAGAAGAT